AGGCCAACTGGGAGGGCACCGTCGGCAATGGCCGCGGTAAAATTCGAGGCCTGTAAAGGCTAAGTCAAAAAAAAAATTTAGTTTGAAGTAATGAATTAGACAAAATTATCTACTGCATCTTGTGTTGATTGTAAAACTCAGTGAGGCTATACAGGGTTTATATTATCATTATTAAAAATTATTTTCTTGTTCTCGCTGGCATCCTCCCTCTATTTTTTCAACATTTCAATTCTTATTTAGCCCATGAATTTCACGTCGGCAATCGGCAATTGCCGACCACATTGCAGAGCCTGAATTGCCACAGGACGGCACTATTTTGCCGACATAGGCCTAGATTTCTTTGCTTCAAAAACTGCTTGGAAAGTCAAAACTTTGACTGAAACAGGCTATAGCAGAAACTAAATTTAACATACAGTAGAACCCCTCATTTATGTACGGGATGCAAAATTTTTTTTCCTCGTCATTTAAAGCAGAAGTCAATAGAGGGCGCGCTATACTCATGAATATTCAACTAGAAACTTGCAGTCCTTGCCTAATAACTTATTCCGTTCTTGAGATCTATTTTCGCCATAGAGAATATCTACGTATGTATCAGCATAGGGCTAGAAAAAATTCTATTTTGCTCCAGCAAGAAAAACTATTTTCTCTACGGCATTCGAGCCATGGGTATTACAGGCTGTGATGTCCACAACAATTCTAACGGCAGTTTCCGTATTCTTGAGGTAGACCTAAGGGTATTCGGCCGAATTCGATCCAACTCGGCCACAAGTCAACTCGGCCACAAGTCAACTCGGCCACAAGTCATTTACTAGAAGGAGTAATTCATCAAGTATAAAATACTAGTTCTTGAAGTATTGCTATACTTATTGTTATTGTTATTCCTGTTATTGTTGTTATTATTATTGTTGTTTTTATTACCGTTAGTTTTAATATTAATTATTAGTCTTAGCATTAACATTATATATTGTTCAAATTTTTGCTGATATTATTATTATTATTACAGTACCATATAAATAATAAATAAGTTTTGATTTTTTATTATTATTATTATTATTATTATTATTATTTATTAGTCTTAGTTTATTTTAATAATAGTAATTTAAAAAGTTATTGTTATTGGGGACATGTTTATTGGTATTTTTCTCATATTATTATTATTATTATTATTGTTGTTGTTGTTGTCACCTTTATTATCGATATTATTACCCTATTATTACTAAGTAGGCCTAGTATTATAAGTATTATTATTATTATTATTATTAATAATTAGTATTACTATTATTATAAAAATAAACATTATCTTTAATTTATTATTGTTGTATTATTGCTATTATCACTTTCAATATCGTTATTATCACTAATTAGTTATTAAAATTGATATTTAAATATCGTTATTATTACCATACTAGTATTATTACTATTAGTATTGTTAAAATAAATATTACTATTTAATGTTGTTGTTGTTGTTGTTGTTATCACCTTTATTATCGTCATAATTCATCCTTTATTCGAACACTGTATCCCCCGAATAATTCACCATCAAAAAAGGTAAAATAATGAATGGAGAAGAGACGAGAGGATCTCTGCTGGAAATGACACTCTTATAATTAAAATTCTCATAATCGATCTAATTAATCGCTGTGATGTTCCATTGAAAATATAACTCAATTGTATTTTTAATTCACTTTACCTACTTCATGTGTATTTTACACAAAATATGTACTACAGTACATATTTTGTGTAAAATAGAGAAGTAACAATGAAATAATACTAATGTTTGAATTGGGACTTCAGCGCCACGAGCTGCGTGTGTGCTGTCGAATATCGCCGATACCTCGGAATGAAACTGATTGAATATTCATGAGTTTAGCGCCCAGTATAGCGCGCCCACTGTTGACTTCTGCCTTAAATGACGAGGAAAAAATTTTTTCGTAAAAATCATTCGTACGTAAAATCAGGGTTGTGTGAAATTCCTATGTATACACTACCGATATGCTAGACTTGGGCTAGGCCTGGACTGGAATTTTGTTGGATGGGAGCCAAAACTCCAACTGGCGCTTGAAAGAAATTCAAGATAACGATCATAAATGTACAATACTATACATACTTGTTAATGTGTATACAAACTTTATTCTCTCTTTCTCAGGCAATGACTTATCTTCTAGATGCAACAGGGTGAGTAATGCAACAACGTTTTTCACTCATCCATGTGCTTGTGGCTTCAAGTAAATACCTGTACAAACCCGGAAACCAGGGGTTCATTATTAAAAGAAAAGCGCTGATTGGCTATAGACACAGCACTTGGACTTTATTTTTTTTGTATACAATACGATCGATTATTCTACGCCTACATTAACATTTATGTAATGAATAATAAAGATAACAAGAAAATGTTGGTGTCAATGTCTTATTTTATGGAGGAAATAATGAAATGGTAGATTAACGTTAGTGAGATTTGATAAATAAAATCCATTTTTAATTAAAATTATAAATCGAACTTAAACGTGACTGTAGGCCTATACGCTACACAGTAATCTCTCTTTTTGAAATTTATTCGAATATCATTGGTTAAAATAAATTTGGTAGGTGGGTTAATTATGATTATTTTGTCTTTTCTATTACGTAAGAGTTAGGACACACAAGATTTATTCAGTGGACAATGTTCATAAACAAACTTGAAAGTGAATAGCATTCATTTTCAAGTTTGTTTACGAGCATTTTCCACTGAATAAATCATGCGCCTATCAATATGCCAGCAACTTACGCATTGGGCGGAGTTTTCTCACAGCTGCAGACATGAAGTATGATCGCCGTGTTAAATGTCGGTGTATTCAAAGCGCACTATCTGCGTTTTTGTATTGTAGTAGAGATAGCTGATAGTGTACAGCAAACCGTCTAAGACTGAGTGAATAAACTCCAGCACGCGCCTAACGATTAATTCTTGACACGCATGTGTTTTGTACATAAAATAGGAACTTTATTTATGACATTGACAACAATGACATGATTTTACGTTCAGGTTTTTCTAACCTATTTTTTTCAAAATTTCATGGGTTGCTTATTAGTTAATGGAAATAGTGCCATTATATTTTCATATTCTCTTTTTTTTTTTGGTGGCAAAATTGAAAAGCATAACATCATCATATTAACGCCTTGTTTTTAGAAACAATACAGTACTACTGCTGTACAGTAATTTTATCATTTCTGTAGTTTGTAATAAAATAATACATGAAAATAACTAATAAAGTTGTATAATGCATACTACACAATATGCTGTTTTTTATGTAGTTGTGTGGGGTGATGGTTTTATATGGTGGTTTTGTTACAAAAGAGAATGTGACATTGATAGTGAAAATCTTTTTGAATGATCCGAGTAGGCTGAATTTAAATGACCTTCTGTGGTCACAATATCTGTCACACATCACTGTATCTTCTAATATTCTTAAAATCTATAAATTTAGTGTTCTACGTGCCTTGAAGCAAAAAGTAAAAATTGATAAATAGCCTGTAAATAAACAGTATGAATTTTTCATCCTTCTTCCTGCGTATGAGTGGCAGCACCAAACTTTAAAATTTTATTTTTTTATATGTATTTTTTTTCATTGAAACGACACAGCAAAGCACATATTCTATAATTATAATTTGTTATATGGCACTGTGGGTGCTTAAATAAGTAGGCTGTCAGGAAAGAAGGCGGCATAATAAACGTTAGGTGGGACATAGCACCGACAGGACTGCACGATAACAATGTACGCCCCACCATAGGCTGGCAGACTGTACTACATGATATAGTAGTTATGTCACCATTTTTAAGATTGGGAAGGTTAGCTGGGTGGATGTAATAGTGGAGGTAGGAGGGGAAGAAGTAGAGTCTGAAAAATATGGGATACTACCTGGACTGACAGTGGCGTATCTAGGGGTGCACAGAGTCGCACACCCCTCCAAAAATTACTTGAATTCCCCGATTCCCTCCAAAAAATCACTGTCAATTTATTAAAAAGCACCTAAAATCACCTCATTCTGCAAGTTAGTGCCCCTGAACTGATCATCGAGCCCCCCCCCCCACCAACTTCATCCTTGTGCCCCTCCACATCAGCACTCCCACTTCAACGCTCCTAGATACGCCACTATAAAGCGATGCATTGTATTAGGCAGATGGTTTATCAGAGTTTTCAGGCAGGGAAACATACAGATTGTCAATGAATAAAGTACAGTACTGTAGTATCTAGGTAAAAAAAACATTCAAATAATAATCGGGGATGGGGAAGAATCTCTCTGAAGGCATAACATACTGTATACAGTAACTAGCATTTTTAAATATTTTATCATCATTTTAAATGCAGCTGATGCAACGAATAGAGGTTTAGTTTTATCTGAGGGATCCTCACAAAAAGGAGGTTCATCAACTCCTCACCCCCATCCCCTCCGGAGTGTGTCTGACTACTCAAAATTCAATACATACTGTAATGATATAGTAGTCAAATTCTGTGTCTTTTCACTACCTCAGTACAGCCTAGTTTTTAAAATAGTGTGGCTATCAACTGAGAGAACAGTTAATTTGAAAAATAGGAAAGGCTTAAAATCAATTTAATTTACGAGTATTGGGTAGAAATTGAGACTTACTTTTCAAAAAAAGATGTCTGAAATGTTCAGCTATAAGATGATTTCCTTGAAAACAACAATTAGGTTCCATATATTTTACAAGCTGTGTGTAAAGTAGTCACAGGGTCTTCATGGCTGTACTTATGTCAAACATAAGATTCCTTCAGTTGTGTGAGGGTTCTTGTTTTTTTTTTAAATTTTACCTAATATATGCATTCTCGATATCTTTGTTACTAATTTATCTGGAACTTTCATATCAGCGATAGAGTCATCAATACAATGATAGCACTAAAAACACACAAGACACACAATTCACAAACAACACAACAACATGCAAGAATGGAGAACTGTAAATGCTTCCATTTTCAATAGGCAAAAATGAATGAATGCTTGTTAGAAATGATTTATATCACATGGTCAAATTGGCATTAACTTACATTAGTATCATAGCATGGCTTAGGTTTTTTGTATTCTTTCCGATTCGCCCGCTTGTCCAGTTTGGCCCATAGTGATTTGGCTTTCCAGGTATTAACCCGAGTTTTGAGATTGACATAAAAAGTTTTGTATTCGGTTGGTTTCAAGTCAACGGCTTGGCAAAGTTCTTTGAAGGCAACTTGAATTCCTTTGAATGTGCTGGCTGTCATGAACTTTTCAAAACAATCGTTTATCATATCCTTTCCTTCTGTCTTTTCTTTCATCTTCTTTGTTGTGTCTTGTCTTCACACTGACAAAAGAAAAAAAATAACAGTACAAAATAATGATTTATATACAGTAGCACCTTTATCAAAATGCTTCACAAAATAGACTACACTTTTTTTTTTTTTTAAATAAGAACACATTTTATAAGAACACTGAGGCTGAAATTGCTTAAAAATTAAGAACAAATTGAGGCTGAGGTAAAATATCCAATGAGATTTTTATTTTAAAAAACTAGAAAAACCAAAAAATATATCTGTACCATACCTTATGTGCAGTAGGTGTGACTATGTAATACCCTCTATAATACAGTACAGGAGGTGTATACCTACTTGTCATTTGGGGCCATTTTTACCCATGTTTTAGATAGAGTACAAGTATACAATAAGCCTACAATGATTAACTTTTATATGACAGCACACAAATTATATATAACTTTACAAAAATTCCATGGTTAGACATATATTGTGTGGGCAATAATTCCATCTGAAACATTAATATAAAAGAGCATAATTTTATGAGCGTGTCCTACAATGTAGAAGCAAGCATTTACTGCATGAGTACTTACAGTATAGTACAATAATACAGTATGTAAAAATAAATAGTGTAGACAGCTTCCACAGAAATACCAGCTTTCTGTCAACATGCACATTGGATATTAAAATGCCAGTACAGACAGTGGTGTTGTTATTTATATGTTCGATGACAAGCATTTCAACAGGAACTGATGTAAAATCTACAAGGTCATAATTCCTACCTTTTTAAGGAGTACCACTTTTAAATGTTTACTGAATGCAGGATGCAATAGAGGATTAGTGTAGCCTGCAACTGATGACAAGTCAAACATAGTGTAATTAATAGTTAAATCACATTGGTAAAAAAACAATAACAAACAAATGGGGTAATACTATATTACACAATACTGTTGTCTTACTATATATAAATTCTTTGAAATGTTTACTCCACAAAGGCCACTTTAACATCATCTCATATTTTTGGGGTTTTAATCATTTGTTTTTCTCAATGTCCTGAAATTAATTTCCTTTTTCTTTTTTTTAAACCAAATTCAACAATTAAAAAAAATATTGGAGTCATCTAAATATTGAGGAAGCTTTAAATTATTACCCAACTGTCCTTCATTTTTAGGATAAATATTAGCCACATGATATTTTATACTGTAGGCATATTCGAATTTTTTCAAATTTAGATTTTTAATATTATTATAGTTTTGGTAGGCCTCAATATATTTTGGTGATAGATTAAGTTAATTGTCATTTTTAAAGAGGGCCTCTGGATATCAGCTGGCCTGCAGTTTCAACTTAAAGAGTTAGGGGCCTACCCTTTTAAAATGAGTTGAAATACTGTAAATAAAGATTAAAAATGAGTATTCTTTAAACTATACTTATAAACAATTCCGAAAGTTCCCGCCAACAAGCTCGGCATAGTTTATGTTGTGTGTATTAAATGTTTGGCTTTCAATAATATACTGAGCAAAATAGAAACGATTCATTGTACGCTTGGTCACGTTACATTAATTGCACACCTGGTCATGTTATTAATACATTCTTCATAGATTCTCATTGACCGTTGGGTGCAGTGTGTTCTCTGGCTAAGTCACAGGAACTCAGCCAAATGCTCAGCACACAATTGTATGCTGTGGACTGTTTTTTCAAAATCAAGTCTGACATTGACAAAAATCTGATAGCCTACATGCTAGCTTTAGATAACACACTGTGGATGACTTGGTATTTTTCTCTGATGGTCATGTACAGTATTATTATTATTATCAATACAGGTTTTCTGAGATCCTTCCAATTAAAGACCACTGCCAAATTAGGCTGTCTATGACATATTATATGACAGTAATTTTTTAAGACCAAATCTGCTAAAGATGAATAAAGTCCCAAAAATGATCTTTAATCTGATAGTGCATGGAAAAACCTAAACATTTTATGCTTAAAAAAAAAAAAAAATATGAAGTAACAATGAAAGGACATTAAAATAAAAATCAAACATGAATTTTTAAAAGACAGTCTTCAAAGGCAAGTGGTTTAAACTATTTTTGGGCCCCTGGCAGTGAACTTGTACACAAAATTATGTATTTTAAGTATGATTTTGAAAAATAATTTAAATGAGAAGGATTTGAATTGTTCGATTCAGATGTTGAAAATGATTTTAAGGGATTCTGAATCCCAATAATTTTCCTCAGTTTGTTCATACTGATGCTAAATTATTGCTCATTAAAATAGATATGATTACTATAGGGTCTGCACTAGGACTTAAGTGCACATAAACAAATTCCAAAACGATATATGTGGCAAAGACAAGCCAAACCAGTCACTCGTCGTCGCAATTCATGTTTCAGAGATAATGGCCAAAACATGCTGGAATGTCACTGAAATTTTTTTTAAATCTATTTTATTGAACTAAACTAACCTTTATATATCTATACATCATGCCATGCCAGCAATCATAAATTTTGAAGGCAGATTTCTCAAATATTGTTCTTTAAACAGCTCTATGTTTAAATGCTTGTAACTTCATTAAGAAACATCAAATTTAAATGATTCTTTTACCATTTTATAGCTCTCATTTTACTGTTTAACCCTATATTAATAACTAAAATTCAATTTTTGCAACCAGTGACTGGTTTGGCTTGTCTTTGCCACATATGAAATTACTGTACTCCACATTTAAAAGTTTCTTTGTTGTAATTCAGGATTATTTTTTTTACACAATCTGACTTCACGCATAAATCCCATCCTGAGAAAAATCGTAAGTAAAGAAACTTTGTAACGACGTAACATGAGTGACATTCTATGAAATCCAGTATTATTAGAACAGTAAGGACAGGCTGCATTAATTTCTGCGAAGCAGCCAATTCATATTCTTGACAGCAATTTGACCTCTGAAAGGTCATTGTTTGTCAAAAAACAAGGGCCTAAGACGACTGAAAAGCGGAGTTTCCTTCTTTCGTTCTGCTGGGTAAAATCAATTACTTTAGGCGACGTTTGTAGACTAACCAACACGTACCAACGTCCACATATTGCGCTAGCCTTATCCTACTCTAGGCCTAGACTAGCTAGGATGGTATAGGCCTAGTCTTGAAGGGACGAAGGTCCCAATGAAAAACAACGTCGCTCCTTGATAGCTAACATTGTCTATTTAAAATCACAATAATTCATTATTAGACCTTTATTATTAGTTGTTTTTTTAATTGTACTCCACAAATCTCAGCTGATACTTCGCACAACTCGAGTAACGTCTCGTATCTATTGTCGTGACGTCATGGCTCGCTGGCTCACACTTGCGATGTCTCGCACTTGTGATCAAATAACACGCTGGCTCGCACTAAAAACACCTAAACTATAATTTACCACTATAGACACTTTTTGACAAAAATGAAAAATTACAACTTTGTTACCCAATGAGAAGTGTTCTAATATAGACAATGGGTCGTGTCTCATATTATTTGTTATATTTTTATTATTCATTATTTTCACTTGACTCACATAAATAATTTTGTTCGAAGAACATTTATATGCAGTTTTACTTCACAGCACTTCACTTGCAATTTGCAATTTCTAGTATATTGTAATTTCCAGTTAAACAAGGTACTGTAGATGTAGACAGGAAGTTGGTATTGCTGTTATTGCACAAGGTGTTATTTTTATGTCAAGCTTTTTGAAAACACATGATGAGGAAGGTAAACATCAAGAAAGGTAAAGTTATTGAACTACAGTCACAATGTACACCCATTTGGTTACCCTGCTCCCATATTGGCTTAACTGTTTACTCTACATATTTAAAGCTAACAATCCCAACCTACATTTCACACCTTTGGGAGGTCAGCAGTGGCTTAGTAAAAAAAAAAAACATAGGCCAGTAGGTGATTTATTCTGTGTTACTGGTTCATTTTATTAAGACATGGTATTTTCTAGTTTGTCCAAGGCATGTACTGATCAGTGCAAATAAAAATAATTGAGAGAAAAAGAAAATCATATTCAAATTTAAGTCTGTAAGTGCCATTTCCCGCCATCTACAGGTGCTGGCATGCCATATTCGTAATTTTTTTTACCTCACCCCTACCATAGTAGGGTTGAGGTGGTACAGACCCTACATTTGTGAAAGTCCCTCCCTGCTCCCCCACCTTTTGCGAATTCTCGAATCCGTCTGTACAGATGTCCCGATGGGAGCAAACTGGGCGTAGTCAAAATATATCTATTAATATGTAGAAAATACAATTACATAGGCTATAATTTATTTTCCCCGACAAATTGTTAGTTTTCTCCTCTATAGGGTAAAAGGGGGGGGGGGAGCTCTCCCCGACAGAGTCCCACCCCTCCCCCTGGAATTGACTTCTTCCAACTTGGGACCCCTGCCTTGTTAAATAATTATTAAATGAATAAATAAATCCCGATCATCCTTCAGACTGCAAAAGAAGCCACATAAGTTATGGCCACAACAAATGTACCCGGTGTAAATGGATTGCAGTATGTAGCATAATGTTTTTTTATGTTGCTGTCAAATGCCACTGTTGCACTTTGTATGACTTTAGGAAGGCAATCATGTTGACCACATAGTTCTTTGTACTGTACATTAGATTTTTGCCAATATAAATTTTAATGACTCTGAACATGTTGTTATTTGCTGTTGTTTATACAGTATTTTATATATACATGGAAAATTATAGGATTTAAACTTGGGACAAATTCCTCCTTAGCTTCAATGATTTCAAGGTCACCGTTTCTTTCAAATCTCCCGAAATAGCAGGTAGACTACTAACAGTCCATTGCTTCTATTGTTCAACAGAAAGCCATGCATACTATCCGAACACCACAATCAAAATTTGTTATGATGACATCACATCATGATCATATAGTCATATCATGACTATATGTGGCAAAGACAAGCCAAACCAGTCACTCGTCGCAAATTATGTTTTAGGGATGGCCAAAACATGCTGAAATATCCAAAATTGTTAAAATCTATTTTATTGTACTAAACTAACCTTTATATATCTATACATCATGACATGCTGTTATTTTCCCCATTTTCAATGTTAAAACAATGATTTTTAACAATTTAGTGATGGTTTCTGCCTGAGAAATGCCCAAAATCATAAACTTTGAAGGCTGATTTCTCAAATATTGTTCTTTAAACCGCTGTATGTTCAAATGTTTGTAACTTCATAAGGAAATGTCAGATATAAATGATTCTTTTACCATTTTATAGCTCTTATTTTCATCTTTAACCCTAAAAAAAATTGATTTTAGTGACGAGTGACTGGTTTGGCTTAGACACACAAAAGTTATTTGTCAAATTTGTCAAAGAAACTTTGATAGTGTGGCAGACCAAACAAAATCTTATGTTTGTTCGGCATAACAAAACCAGCCTACCCTTTTATAATACAGTATATAATTTCTTATCAGTCTGCCCTTTATAATACATGAAATTCTTATCAAGGAGTGTCGGTCTTCAATCACGTACACAGTATACAGTAAACCACCAACAGATTAATGTGGAAATTCACCTGCTAGAGTTAACACACATTGTTGATGAAATGTTAGTACAGTATTCAGAAATTCCTATTACATTGAGTCACAAATTAACTTCATTTTTGTTCTCCTAGCTCATTGTGGATTCAGC